CACAAAGCGAGACTCTGAGCAGTGTGCTGGACCACGGCCCCATCAAAATGTTCCTTTTTAGACTGAAAACCAGGATTCCTCTAGGTTTTCTGTATGGCCCTGTACTGGTTTTGGCTGGGAGAAAGTTAATTTTCCTTCAGAGTAGCTCGCGTGGTGCTAAATTTCAGATTTGTGACTAAAACAGTGCTGGTAACACAGGGACGTTGTAGCTGTTGTTGAACAATGAAAGAATTCCCTCACTTTCACCCTTCTGATTCTCCTCCCCATCCCATCGGGGGGAGAGTGAGTGAGCACTGGGTGGTGTGTGGGGCTGAACTGGACACCAGTTTAACCAAAACCAGAACCATGTCACCGAAACCTCAACCAAACCTACTGAAACCCACATCATTTTCAGAAGGGATGCCCAGAACAACAATGATCCTCCAGCTGAGACATCATCTGCACCAGACAGAACGCAAGAAATCACCTTTTTCCCTACAGTTATCCCAGAATCCAGCAAACACCTCCCTCGAGTCACCTTTCACCACGCTGTCACCTCTCGTTTGTCACCTCCATCGCTTCTGCTGCACCTGCTGGTTAATCCCTGCTTTGGGCATTTCTCCTTCCTAACCAACGTGCTTTTTACTGGCTTTCAATAATTTTAATTTGCCTGAATTCAGGCATTTTCAATTCTCACCTCGTCCCCTGAATTCCCCCCCAGCTTGGTTTCTTCCCCACATTTTAGATGCCAAAGTTAATAGTTAAAATAACGATGGGGGAGACACCAGAAGAGAATCCACTGGGGCCCTACTTAAAATGCCCTTCCAGCCAGCGCTGCGGAAGCAGAAATAAGGAGTTGATTCAGCTCCCTCTGGTACAGGATGAACCTTTAAATTCTTCCAGTCGTCGAATCGACACCATTTTTAATCCTCCAAAACCAAACAAAGATCACAGGATGAACGAACAACGCCATGGAAGTGCTGTATAAAAAGGGAGCATATGAAAAAAACATCGCACTGAACAAAACTCTGTTGGTTAAAATAATAATAAAAAAAAAGATCACCAAATCCTATTAATAACTGCTCAGAAAAAACACCCCGTATTTGAATAAACGTGAAGGGATTCCAAGAAACCAGGGCAAAGGGAGCTGTGAACAAACACTCTCTGCTTTTGTTGTTTGAAGTCCACAGACCAATGACTGAAGCACTTCCACGGGGAGGTGTGAACACCCACCGAGATTGGAGACACTTAAAGGGTGGGTTTTTAGGGCATTAAAAGGGTGGAAGTTTAATCAGCAGCGAAATGATGCTGGTGGGTACACACAGTTCCAGATGTTCTCTGCCCTGCTCAGATACCTGTCACATCTGAAACAATGAATTATGGTGACTCAGTTCATGGTGACTCCTTCCCTTTCAATAACAACTGGTTGTGCTCTGGACTGGAAGGTTCCCAGTGCCAGGGGACTGCACTCAACAGCCACCATCAATCTCAGAATGGTTTGGGTTGGACCATAAAGATCATCCAGTTCCAACCCCCTGCCCTGGGCAGGGACACCTCCCACCAGACCAGGTTGCTCAAAGCTCCATCCAACCTGGTCTTGAACCCCTCCAGGGATGGGGCAGCCACAGCTTCTCTGGGCAACCTGTTCTAGTGTCTCACCACCCTCAGAGTGAAAAATGTCTTCCTGAGATCTCATCTAAATCTCCCTCTTTCAGTTTGAAGCCATTTCCCCTCATCCTGTCACTACATGCCCACATAAAGAATCCCTCCCCATCTCTCCTGGAGCCCCTTGAGGGACTGGAAGGGGCTCTAAGGTCTCCCTGGAGCCTTCTCTTCTCCAGACTGAACCCCCCCCAACTCTCTCAGCCTGTCCTCACAGCAGATGAATGGTTGGACTCGATGACCTTAAAGGTCCCTTCCAACACAGAAGATTCTGTGATTCTACACCTCTTCCCTCCCAGCCCCTCTAGTCACCGACAGAGCAGCACTGTCCTGTCCACAGGGAGATGTCACCACTCAAAAGGCTGTGAGAATCTGAGCAACGTTAAGGGTGGCATCAACAACAGCTGTAGACACCAGGATTCTCAAAGCCCCCAAGACTTTTGGGGGGTTCTTCTTACGTGCAGGAGACTGGGATCAAACAAGACACTGGTACCATTAACATTACCTGTCCAGGCTGTGTGTGAGAGATAAACCTGTGTTATCAGCCTGTGCCTTCCAGGACCAGGATTTCGGAAGTCAGCTGGTTTGGGATGGATTATCTGCGCTTGTCCATCTGGATACAACACCTATAGAGGGGGAAAAAAACCAAAAAAACTCAAAAAACCAGAAAGAAATAACTAAATGACAACTTGGACTGGGGATTTGCACAGTGTGTGTTGTTTTGGTGTTTTCTCTTTGAGTTCAGAAGACAGAAAGCTGTGCTTTATGCTTAATTCTTTATTCCAGGAGCCCAGTTGCCCTAGATTTGTCAGCCACACGCTGGCCATTCCGAACAGCTACTGAATTATGAGTCTATGATTCTCTCTCTCTTTTCCTCCTCCTCCTCCTACTACCCAAGCTGGAAGTTCACCGGTATTTATTCGTGCTCACGTCCATGATGTGCCCAGTGCAGGTGAAAGCAGAGAATGGCATCAGAGGGCTCAAAGCAAACTCTCAGGAACTGTAGATAAATCAACTCAAGCCAGTTTCAGAACATGCCATTAAAATGCAGAAATCCAACACCGTGACTAATGAAGTGTATGATCACAGAATCATAGAATGGTCTAGGTTGGAAAGGACCTTAAAGATCATCTAGTCCAACCATCAATCTAACTCTGACAAAAAAATAAATAAGAAATAAGCAATAAAAAATCACTAAACCATATTCCTGAGGACCATGCCAACCTTTGAACACCTCCAGGGATGGTGCCTCAACCACCTCCCTGGGCAGCCCATTCCAATGCTGGATAACCCTTTCCGTGAAGAAATGTTTCCTAATCTCCAATCTAAACCTCCCCTGGCACAACTTGAGGCCATTTCCCCTTGTCCTATCTCCTGTGACTTGTCCTGAGATCGACCCCTGCTTCTCTACACCCCCCTTCAGGTAGTTGTAGAGCGCGAGAAGGTCTCCCCTCAGCCTCCTCTTCTCCAGACTGATTATTTGCGATTCAGAAGGACTGACGTCCTTAAACCAGCTCCCCCCGAGATGCAATCCTGTTTGCATTTATGTCAAGCCACTGCTTACCTGGACTTTAACGGTTCCTTGGGGATCCTGCACGTGTTCCAGTGTTGCATCAACATCCAGAGCCACCACCAACCCTGACGTGAACCTCAGAGGATTATCAGATTCACCGGTGGGTTCAATGATGTTGGCAGTAGCTCTGTGGAGCTATGAGGGGCAAAGTAGTCGGCAAAAATAAGGCGGGGAGAGGAGGAGGATAGAAAAAAACCCAATAATTACAATTATAATAATATAATAAAGTATTATAATTAAACAATTAATGGAGAAATTGTGCGTGAACTTTGGATTCTTTCAGATACTTTCTTATCTTTCAGATACTCTAACCATTCTGTGATTCTATGATTCTGTGATTCTATATTGCCAGCAATTATTAAGTCTTCTGTATTTTTAGCAGCAGTCCCAAGGATGCCAGGCAAGAATTATTGAATGGTTTGAGTTGGAAGGGACCTTAAGATCATCCAGTTCCAATCCTCTGCCATGGGCAGGGACACCTCCCACCAGAGCAGGTTGCTCAAAGCCCCATCCAGCCTGGCCTTGAACCCCTCCAGGGATGGGGCAGCCACAGCTTCTCTGGGAAACCTGGGCCAGGGTCTCACAACCCTCAACAGCAAAGAATTTTCTTCCTAATATCTAATCTAAATGTCCCCTCTTTCAGTTAAAACTATTCTCCTTCATCCTATGGCTCCACTTCCTGATCAAGAGTCCCTCCCCATCTCTCCTGGAGGCCCTTGAGGGACTGGAAGGGGCTCTAAGGTCTCCCTGGAGCCTTCTCTTCTCCAGGCTGAACACCCCCAACTCTCTCAGCCTGTCCTCACAGCAGAGGGGCTCCAGCCCTCAGACAATTTTTGTGGCCTCCTCCAGACCCGTTCCAACAGGCCCGTGTCTCTCCTGTGTTGAGGACTTGAGAGAAGAGGAAAGTCCTAGAAGAAATAACACTTGGGACCGATCAAAAACCTGAATCCTAAAAGCTTCATGGTGTGTTAGAAACTAGTCAGATGCTGAGACAGTCTGTGAGGATATTGCATTTTAATTCTCTGCGTCGAACTGACCTGCTCTGGAAGAGGAAGGTGGAGGAAGGTGCTTTGTCGCAGCGTTGTCTGAAGAATCTTGACCACTTCTGAAGGCTTGGATGTCACCAGTCTGGGCATTAAGTCCAGCAATTTATCTACAAAACTGCCTTGCATATGTGGGAGCTCAGAGATGAAACACCTGTGTTAGGAATAAATTAAAAATCAAATACTTTTTTCAACAGTATCATTATTTTCAGCCAAGCTATGTCCTTATATCTAATTCTGTCATTATGACTAAAGACGTAGATTCCTCTTCTGATGTGTCTCATAGGTAAGATGAAGATTATTTTGGCTAGTTATGTTGGGACCATACCTTGGTGCTCAAACTGACAACATCAAGTGTACTTAGATCTCACTTCTTATGTCCTTCATCAACACAGAGTCTACTGGGCAAAGGTATCTCGATCCACAAAAAACAGGAGCTGGAAATGCTGAGGTGCCCATCAATGGTTTTTCTCTACTGATATTTATGGGAGTATTACTTATCACACCTAAGGAGTGACATTTAAATAGTAAACTACAACCAGTAGGAAAAAAATCCCAAAAAATCCCAAGTTTGAGGTCAAGAACAGAGAATTGAAACCCTTCTATAGTTTGAGACAGCAGCCTCTCACAAGAAGAGCACTTGATAGCCTGATTTCACTCCTGCATAAAGAACAAGAACTACTACCTTTGTGGAATTCCTCACTGCCCCTAGGAGTTCCACTCCTGAAAATATGGTTCCCTCATCACTTCACCAGCCACAGCAGCCAAGCACTGGAAGAGCTTGCCCAGGGAAGTTGTGGCTGCCCCATCCCTGGAGGGGTTCAAGGCCAGGCTGGATGGGGCTCTGAGCAACCTGGTCTGGTGGGAGGTGTCCCTGCCCATGGCAGGGGGTTGGAACTTGATGGTCTTTAAGGTCCCTTCCAACTCTAACCATTCTATGAGTCTATATGGACCACAAAAAAAATGGGTATTTAATCAGAACTAGAGAGGGAGTTCTGCTCAGCTGACCCTGGATACCTCTATCTCTGGGCAAGCAATCCATTTCCCTTCTGAGTGGATGGAAAAAAAACCTGGACATCCTTAATCTGACCTATTTTAGACACCCAAATTTGGATAAAAAGAAAGAAGCAGCTCTCTGGTGAGAGCTGGGCAAGTACTTCATAAGCAGTGGTCTACGAAGCAACGTCAACACCCAGGTGAGAGAACTCCCACCTTGAGCATGTAGATGGTTCACTCGCTCTCTCGTTTAGAACTCAGAAATTTGGGATAAGGAAAAGAGAAATTCCTTCTTTGTTAAACTCTCAGGAAAGCTCTTCATTGATCCTACTTGTAGAAGGGAGTTTAATTCTTCTGGATCCTGAGACTCAGTGCGAGGAAAAGAGACAAAAGCAAATTATCTCACGTCCCCGATGTAGGACAACAAGAGGGGGAGATGTGAAGAACAAATGGAATATTCCCCGATGACAACAGTGGAGAGATTTCCATAGAATCACACAACAGTTTGGATTGGAAGGGAGCTTTAAAGGTCATCTGGGCTTTCTAACAAGGTGAAGAAGCAACGGAGTTTCTCACCTCTGAAAGGAATCCACTTCTTGTAGGAATTTTTCACACATCCCGAACAGCGGTTCCACTCTGGAATGAAGAAAACATTCCTTGTTTTAGTCTTAAACAAAGAAAACTGGTTCTATGGCTAAATGGTTTGAAATCCACTGCAAGCCCCGAAAAACAAGATCTTACAATTCTGAGGCTAAAAACTCGGCAAATGATACCGAGTCTATCAATGCACTGTGTTTGCTTCATGACTCTTCCTCATTTAATTAGCTCCTAAATATCAACTCTAAGACACGCTCTGTGATGTTTTAAACCTATTTATATGTTCATAGCTGAGAAAACTCAACCCCCTAAATATGCCTTCCTAATAATTTTGTCATCTAATTGAGTATCGTGCCACTCGACAGCTACACCAAAGGCAAAAGAAGACTCTTCACGTTGAGTTTGTTGAACAAATACTTATTATTCTGTGATGTTTCATGAGTCAAATTTATCCTTACTGCTTTTTTTGTTAAACAAAGCTTGAGGAAACTAAGCTTCAAGTGAACCCTAGGAAGGTCCTTTGAGCAGGTCACCCTTACCCTCTCGTGGTCCGGGCAGTCACGATGAGCTGTAACGCCTTCGCCTGGAGCCTCATGTGGTGAATAATGACCACTTGTCTGCTCTCCACGCCGCTGTACATGAACTCCATCTTATACGTTTCCTCCAAGATCTGCCAGACAGACACCACGGGGGTAAAAAAAAACCCATCAGACTCCGCTAAACTCTCACACAAGCACAATCACAAGATCCTGGCATTTTTCCTCAGGCCAAGGACACATTAATCCATGAGTCTCATTCTTCTGGTGAAATTCTTCACAGCATGAAGTGGCACCTAATACTAAAAGGTTATTTTGGCGGCATTAAAGAAACAATTCACGAAACTTGGCCTGAAATCAAGCACTCCCTGCACAGGCAGTCTATCTTCTGACATTGCATTTCAAGTTTCTAGGGGTAGAGAACTCACCGACTCCCGCAGGCTACTCTGGAATACAAAACATGAGCAGCACAACAGAGCAAGCTCAGAGGTCCTGCTCAGGTCTACATTTTTCATAGAATCATAGAATTGTCTAGGTTGGAAGGGACCTTTAAGATCATCTAGTCCAACCATCAACCTAACTCTGATAATAAACAATCACTAAACCATGTCTCTAAGCTCTATGTCAACCCATCTTTTGAACACCTCCAGGGATGGTGCCTCAACCACTTCCCTGGGCAGCCCATTCCAAGGCTTAATAACCCTTGCAGTGTACAAATTGTTCCTAATATCCAACCTGAACCTCCCCTGGTGCAACTTGAGGCCATTTCCTCTTGTCCTGTTGCCTGTGACTTGGGAGAAGAGCCCAACCCCCGTCTCTCTACACCCTCCTTTCAGGGAGTTGGAGAGAGTGAGAAGGTCTCCCCTCAGCCTCCTCTTCTCCAGGCTGAACACCCCCAGCTCACAGAATGATAAGAGGTTGGAAGGGACCTCTGGAGATCATCTAGTCCAACCCCCTGTCAAAGCAGGTCCATCCAGAGCAGGTTGCACTGGAGCTCCCTCAGCCTCTCCTCATAAGACTTATTCTCCAGACCCGCTCCAGCCCCTTAACGTCTTTTTTGTGGTGAGGGGCCCAAAACTGGACACAGCACTCAAGGTGGTGCCTCACCAGTGCCCAATACAGGGGGACAACCACCTCCTGAGTCCTCCCATATTTGAAGCTAATATGGGAACTGTCACAAAATAAACATAATTTTGGATTCTTTTAGATACAGCGTAAAATGCTTAGACAGGACCTTGCACAGTTTTTACTCATCCTACTTTATCTGTCGAATAGATGGGCTTAAGTAGACAAGAGAATTGCTCAAATTAATAGAGTCGAGTTCAGTATGACTGTAGAGAAGCCAAGACCTTGCAAGTTATTTAATAGGAAACGTTCTCTCCCCCTTGGGTTGATGGGAAATGATCTACATTCACAATCACAACAGATAAAACTTCCCCAGGGGGGTTCACGTGCGACTGAGAAGGGCACCCAAGACAGAGAGTTCAATTAGAGAAGGTTTTAAAAAGCTGATAGGTTTTTGTTTCTACTCATCCCAGGGGAGAGCTGTCAACAGCACAGAAGGTTTTGATGCACAGCGGCACCTGCCTCTTATTACACCTTAATTAACTGAAGACTCAAAACGTCAGCACAGTTCCCCAGCAGATCCACAATCTTGCTTTTTCACTCTAGATTTGTTTCTGGATTATTTAATAGCTTGCTTTCTTCTTCACTTTTTCTTAGGGCTTCAGTTATTCCAGTCTCAGATCACTTACACATCACAGAATCATAGAATTGTCTAGGTTGGAAGGGACCTTTAAGATCATCTAGTCCAACCATCAACCTAACTCTGATAAAAAAATAAATAAGAAATAAGCAATAAAAAATCACTAAACCATATTCCTGAGGACCATGTCAACCCGTCTTTTGAACACCTCCAGGGATGGTGCCTCAACCGCTTCCCTGGGCAGCCCATTCCAATGTCTGATAACCCTTTCCATGAAGAAACGTTTCCTAATGTCCAATCTAAACCTCCCCTGGAGCAACTTGAGGCCATTTCCCCTTGTCCTGTCTCCTGTGACTTGGGAGATGACACCGACCCCCACCTCTCTACACCCCCTCTTCAGGTAGTTATCGAGCGCGAGAAGGTCTCCCCTCAGCCTCCTCTTCTCCAGGCTGAACACCCCCAGCTCCCTCAGCCTCTCCTCATAAGACTTACTCTCCAGACCCCTCACCAGCTTCATTGCCCTTCTCTGGACCCGCTCCAGCACCTCAATGTCTTAATAACTCAGGGTAGGACCTCTGGAGGTCACCTAGCCTGCTCCCCTGCTCACAAGCAGGTCTAATGAGATGCAGTTATTCAGGGCCACATCAAACTGTGAACAATTCCACGGACAGAGATTCCCCCCAACCTCTCTGGAGAACCTGTTAGAGTATTTAACCACCCTTATGATAAATTTCCCCCCCTTTATATCTAATCAGAATTTCCCATCTTCCAATTTGTGTCCGTTGAGTGTTGTCCACAGCAGTCTGGCTCTGTCTCATCTACATCCTACGACGAGGCAGTGGCAGACAGCAATCAATCCACCCTGAAGCCTTCTCTTCTCCAGGCTGGACAAGCCCAGTTCCCACAGCCTCTCCTTGCAGGGAATGTGCTCCAGTCCCTGACCACCTTGGTGGCCCTTTGCTGACCTTCCCCCTGTTTGTCAGTGTCTTCCTTCCATTGGGGAGCCCAAAACACGACACAGCCCTCCAGATGTGACCTGGCAGAGACACCTCCCACCAGACCACATTGCTCAAGGCCCCATCCAGCCTGGCCTTGAACCCCTCCAGGGATGGGGCAGCCACAACTCCTCTGGGCAACCTGGGCCAGGCTCTCACCACCCTCAGCAAAGAATTTCTTCCTGAGATCTAATCTAAATGCCCCCCCTTTCAGTTTAAAACCATTCCCCCTCATCCTGTGGCTCCACTCCCTGATCACAAGTCCCTCCCCATCTCTCCTGGAGGCCCTTTAGGGACTGGAAGGGGCTCTAAGGTCTCCCTGGAGCCTTCTCTTCTCCAGGCTGAACCCCCCCAACTCTCTCAGCCTGTCCTCACAGCAGAGTCCTCCAGCCCTCCCAGCATCTTTGTGGCCTCCTCTGGACCCGCTCCAACAGGTCCATGTCCTTCCTGTGCTGAGGACTCCACTGATGTTGATCAGGCATTTTGGCTGTTCCCACCACCTCATTGACCTTTGCTTGTTTAGAAACGGCATTTAAGAGGAGCTGCTCCATAATCTTCCCCACAAGTGAGGCCAAGCAACCCGGAGTCTTCTAGATCTTCCTTCGTACTCTTCTGGAAGAGCTGTCATCGACCTCCATCACTCGCCTCTCATCTTTTGAAGATGAGAGAAATGTCTCCACTTTGGAGAACTAAGATTGACTGGGACAGACTCTGGCAGTGGGAGGTTACTGTTGCATGGCCAAAGGAAGGGCTCGTATCCAAGGAATTCCCTCCAGGCAGACCCAGCTGCTTCCAACCTCACCTGTTTTGCTGCAGCAGATGCCAACGCGTTCTGTTTCAGGTACAGAGGAGCTGCCACGTTCCACAGCTTCTCCTGCAAGGCCTGCAGAAGAAAACCATCACACGACGATAAACAACCAGTTCAGTCTAAACACGGTGTCTTTGGGGCTTTTAAATACAATGTGGGGAACCAAGCCCTCCAAAATTATTCTATAAATGCACGGAGATATCTATATAACTATGAAATATAAAACAAATTGAGAATAATATTAAAAATACTATGAATTAGAGACTGGCTGAGCCAAACTCTTCGTACTTTTTAAGGAGAACTTCATGCAGAATGCAGTCACCTCTTAGAAAAACAATAGCCCACGGTGTTATCACCTGCCAAGATCAGGGCAACCCCAGATTGCAGGCAAGAAGCGGAAACAATAACAGCTGTCCCCAAAAACACACCTAGACAGTCATATTCCTCAACTTTCCTGATGACAGTCTCCTTCCCACCAAAGATCCCGGAGTTGCTAAGAATACTGAGTGTAAAAATCAGCCACTAATATTTGTATTTAAAAAAAACCCACCCAACTACACCTGAATTGTTTTTTGAGATTTGGGTTCTCTCTGCCATATCAGAATTTCTAATTGTATGATATTATGAGTTACTCTTAATTGCAGCCACATTAGTGACTCCTCTACGTCACAGATGTACTGTCTGTTCCCAAACCGCTGTTCTAGCAGCAAACAGACACCGGTTCCTCCAGCCAAACCCTGGAGAAGGGCCACAAAGTCACCTCCAAAGGCCAATTCTCTGCCCGGATAGCACATTTTGCTTTGGAAAAAGTTTTGGATTTAGCTAGTAATGTACCAAGCTGTAACACTGCTCATCAAATAGGCCTTCTTTCGGTGATAAATGTAATTCATAGAATCATAGAATGGTTAGAGGTGGAAGGGACCTTAAAGACCATCGAGCTCCAACCCCCTGCCATGGGCAGGGACACCTCCCAGTAGACCAAAAATGGTCTGCTGAACCAAAAATGGCCTTGAACACCTCCAGGGATGGGGTATCCACAGCTTCTCTGGGAAACCTGGGCCAGTGTCTCATCACCTCTTTAGTAGTTTTTTTTTGTTCTTTGGAAACGTGTGCTTGATCAGCAATTATTTAAATAATGGTTAGCTTAAAGTCACATTATAGAAATGTTTAAATTTCATTAGATTGTCTTCCAAATAAAGATTTAATGTTAAAAATAGAATAGCCTAGGTCTCTTCAGACAGTGAAACATGTGTTGTTGTAAAAAGAATATTTATCTCCGAGTGCTCACCTGAAAGCTTTGCATTCTGCATAGCAAAGTCTAAAGGAAAAACGAGGTGAACTTTTGTAAATTGACAAGTTCTTTTACTCCTGAGGTGACCTTTTGGGGTTTTCTTTTGTTTACAACTTTCCTTCTCGGAAGTAGGATTGTGCTGTAATCAGGGCCTGATCTCTTGCCGTCACCACGCAGAGGTAGAGATACGTGGAGATAAGACTGACATAATTTCCCTTTGCTGGGGAGATCCAAAGATTTGAGGGCTGCATCGAGATACGCCAACTGGCAGCTATGTAATTAGCAAAGAAACTGAAATTCCTTATTGGTTTTACATAACGAAGCTTTTATTGAGTCCCTTCTGGAAACCTGTTTGTTGCTTGCTTTAGATCTTGCTTTACATCTGTGTAAATTCTATTCAAACACCTAAATACCAGGAGATTAACTTAAATACCAGTCGATAGCTTGAGAAGTGAAGCAAAAAAATTAGATGGTGTTTATAAGAAGAAGCTGCCTTTGAAAAGGGTTGCTGTCCCGGTGTCAAAGCAACTGCTTCATCTCCTAACGCCAAAGAGATCATTTCAAGGCTGTTAAAGAAAGCACGATTGGTATTTTGCTCCATCAAGTCTAGAGAATTCTTTGGCATCCGTGCCCAAAAACCTGTCTACAAAATATCGTCTGTAAAAAAGGGTTAGGGAGGCCACCAGCAACGAAAAGTTACTCTCATAACACGAAAGGCTACAAAGTAGTTGACTCCATTGTGGTTTCTGTCAGAAAAACTCTGCGTTGGCCAAAAAGCATGTGAACCAACATAAACCCCGGGTGTAACAGCAGAGATCTGCACTGGTGTACTCACTGGCAAAGCCAGGGCACGAATTATTTAGAATCATAGAATTGTCTAGGTTGGAAGGGACCTTTCAGATCATCTAGTCCAACCATCAACCTAACTCTGATGAAAAACAATCACTAAACCATGTCTTTAAGCACTATGTCAACCCGTCTTTTGAACACCTCCAGGGATGGTGCCTCAACCACTTCCCTGGGCAGCCCATTCCAAGGCTTAATAACCCTTGCAGTGTAAAAATTGTTCCTAAAATCCAATCTGAACCTCCCCTGGTGCAACTGGAGGCCATTTCCTCTTGTCCCATCGCCTGTGACTTGGGAGAAGAGACCGACTCCCACCTTTCTGCCACAGAAGGGAAGCAGGAATATCAGAAATCCACGGAACCTTTGCTTTCCTCACACATCAGTTTTCAGCACAAACATTAAAACATCAAAGCGCCCCTCTAAGTTTCACAGAGGGCGTTTGTGAAGAACAGCCCAAAAAATCCAGATGAAGCCAAACCTTGATGAGGAGCAGCTGACACTGAAGGTACGTCGCAGTGAAATCCGCCATCCCGGCCAGCTCTGACTGCAGCTCCCCGAGCCTCTGAAGGTCACTGAAGAAAAAAAAAAAAAAAAAAAAAAAAAAAAAAAAAAAAAAAAAAAAAAAAAAAAAAAAAAAAAAAAAAAAAAACCCAAAAAAGGAAAAAAAAAGCATTAGAATCATGGAATTGTATAGGTTGGAAGGGACATTTCAGATCATCTACTCCAACCATCAACATAACACGGATTAAAAAAAAACCCCATCACTAAACCATGTCACTAAACACCACATCAACCCGTCTTCTGAACACCTCCAGGGATGGTGCCTCAACCACTGCCCTGGGCAGCCCATTCCAAGGCTTAATAACCCTTGCAGTGTACAATTTTTTCCCTAATATCCTATCTGAACCTCCCCTGGTGCAACTTGAGGACATTTCCCCTGTTCCTTGGGAGAAGAGACTGACCCCCACCTCTCTACACCCTCCTTTCAGGGAGTTGGAGAGAGCGAGAAGGTCTCTTCTCAGCCTCCTTTTCTCCAGGCTGAACACCCCCAGCTCCCTCAGAAGTTCTCCAGACCCTTCTCCTTGTTCTCCAGACCCCTCACCAGCTCCGTTGCCCTTCTCTGGACCCGCTCCAGCACCTCAATGTCTTTTTTGTGGTGAGGAGCCCAAAACTGGACACAGCCCTCGAGGTGGGGAAGCCAGCAAGTTCATCTAAATGCACTCAGAACACAGTGACGACGAAGCCAGCAATTTCTGCATCTTGCTTTTTCCTGCCCTTAGGACGAGCACCAGAAACAGCAGGAAAACACGTGCTACAGAAGAGTTTGCACCTTAGGACTTGGCATCTCCTTTCTTCCCGGAGGCAGCCACAGGCAGAGCAGGGAAAGCAGCAAATTCTGTCAACCCCGTTACCCTGCAGCCCCATGGGGACCACGGACCATCTCAGTTCCAGATTTAACTTCAAAACACCCTGGCCTCCTACAGCAGCTGACGACCCCTTCGCGTGACGCTGCTGGGAAATCAAACTATTCCTGCTGGAGAAGAAAGGTTGTTTGGAACACGCCGGGCTCACGCAACCAGGTGTATTTGAAATAGAGCTGCCTTTTTAAAACAAGCTGAAATCTGCTGCTATTTCCCCAAAATAGCTGTCGTGTGCTGTCTGGGGTAAGCATTCCTTGTAGATCTTACAGCAACAGAAGTCGCTTTTCACTTCACCGGAAAACTAAAGAAGACAGTTAAGGGAACTCAAAAAGGCTTTAGTTCTCTACTCTGAGACATGTTTTAAAATCAAAAGCGTGTATTAAGAAAACAAAACTCATTTTTTGTCGTAGAATCGAAAATAGGTTGGGTGATGTGGATTCAACATGTCGCTGTTCTTTGTAGTTTGCTTTGATCCAAAGCGTCCTACAATTGTCACTCTGCTTCCATGTTTCCTACAGTATTATTTTCTTCAGATGACCCTTTTCTTTTGTTTTTTTTTTCAGATGTATCTTTACATATGTTTGCCCCATAACTGGAAGTGGTCAAGGCCAGGTTGGATGGGGCTTTGAGCAACCTGGTCTGGTGGGAGGTGTCCCTGCCCACGGCAGGCGCGTTTGAACTCGATGGTCTTTAAGGCCCCTTCCAAACCATTCTGTGAATCTGATTTACGATGCAACTCTGAAACTTTGGTTTTGCCAAACCCGAGTGCTCCCGCATTCAAAAAAATAAAAATAAAAAATCCATGAGATCCCAAAGGGATGAGATTCAACAAGGCCAAGTGCTGGGTGCTCCACTTGGGTCACACCAACCCCCTGCAGCGCTACAGGCTGGGGGCAGAGTGGCTGGAGCTGCCTGGCAGAAAAGGACCTGGGGGTGTTGGTTGACTGTGGGCTAAACATGAGCCAGCAGTGTGCCCAGGTGGCCAAGAAGCCAACAGCATCCTGGCCTGTATCAGGAACAGTGTGGGGAGTAGGACCCGAGAGGTGATTGTCCCCCTGTACTTGGCACTGGTGAGGCCCCACCTCGAGTACTGTGTCCAGTTTTGGGCTCCCTACCACAAAAAAAGACATCGAGGTGCTGGAGCGGATCCAGAGAAGATCAACAAAGATGGTGAGGGGTCTGGAGCACAAGTTTTATGAGGAGAGGCTGAGGGAGCTGGGGGTGTTCAGCCTGGAGAAAAGGAGGCTGAGGGGAGACCTTCTCACTCTCTCCAACTCCCCGAAAGGAGGGTGTAGCCAGGGGGGGTCGGTCTCTTCTCCCAAGGAACAGGCGACAGGACTAGAGGAAATGGCCTCAAGTTGTGCCAAAGGAGGTTCAGATTGGAGATTAGGAAAAATTTTTTCACCGAAAGGGTTATCAGGCATTGGAATGGGCTGCCCAGGGAGGTGGTTGAGGCACCATCCCTGGAGGTGTTCAGAAGACACGTTGATGTAGTGCTGGGAGATACGGTTTAGTGATGGTGTTGCTTTTTGTTTGTTGTGTGGTTGTTTATTTTTGTCAAAATTAGGTTGACGGTTGGACAAGATGATCTTTAAGGTCCCTTCCAACCTAGAAGATTCTGACTCTGTGATTCAAGACCAGGCTGGATGGGGCTTTGAGCAACCTGGTGTGATGGGAGGTGTCCCAGCCCATGGCAGGGGGTTGGAACTAGATGATCTTTAAGGTCCCTTCCAACCTGAACCATTCTATGATTACCTGTATAATTTGCAGCCAAAGAAAACCTCTCCTAAGCAGAGGGGCTGTGACTTCCTTCAGTGCAACAACAGTTGTGCCAGGCTGAGCCCTCCGCAGCGATTCCATTTCATCCTCTCTCAGAAAAAAAAAAGACCAGATTCCTGGGTGGTTTATTCCCATGTCACACTTCACGCGTGACAACACGCTGCCAGGGAGCAGGATGCCATCTCTCAGCGAACAGCCAGGCAGACACTCTGCTTCCCAGTCTTCTCCCCTTCCCAATTCCACTAATTCTATTCCCTTACAAATCCTCACTGGATTTCAACATCCCTGCGAGACAAAAAAAATTCCTGCTGGAGGGATGGAGAAACCAAACCACAAAGACTCGATTTGCTAAAAATCCCGCCTTGCAGTTTCAGCTGCAGAGCCTGGGGGAAGAGTGTCAGGCTCGAGCGTGGTTAGAAATATAAGTCCCCAGGAGACACCAGCTCCACAGGGTCTGCTCTGCTTCCCCCGGTGACAATAATGACAAAGGAGGAAGGAGAATTCACCACTATGAGCTTCTTCCATCCTTCTCCTCTCAGCAATCAAATCTTTGGCGCAGGAAACTCCTGCCCTCCACAAAATAACCTGTAACTCTACTTTTGGTTTTATCTTAAGTCCTCCCTTCTCTTAAGGATGGAAACCAGCAGCTGGTTTTGTGCGGTTCCTGAGTGGTGATCCCAGCAGGAAAAAAGCCAAGGTAATAATTTCATAGAATTATAGAGTTGTCCAGGTTGGAAGGGACATTTCAGATCATCTACTCCAACCATCAACCTAACTCTGATAAAATCCCTCAATAAACCATGTCACCAAGCATGATGTCAACCCATCTTTTCAATACCTCCAGGGATGGTGCCTCAACCACTTCCCTGGGCAGCCCATTCCAAGGCTTAATAACTCTTTCAGTGTCAAAATTTTTCCTAATATCCAATCTGAACCTCCCCTGGTGCAACTTGAGGCCATTTCCTCTTATCCTGTTGCCTGGGACTTGGGAGAAGAGACCGACCCCCCCTGGCTACCCCCTCCTTTCAGGGAGTTGGAGAGAGCAATAAGGTCTCCCCTCAGCCTCCTTTTCTCCAGGCTGAACCCCCCCAGCTCCCTCAGCCTCTCCTCATAAAACTTGTTCTCCAGACCCCTCACCAGCTCCGTTGCCCTTCTCTGGACCTGCTCCAGCCCCTCAATGTCTTTTTTGTGGGGAAGGGCTCAAAACTGGACACAGCCCTCGAGGTGGGACCTCACCCATGCCCAGCGCAGAGGGATTTCCATCAATTCCAAAGCATTACTGTCCCTTACTGCACACAGGTCCCGCAGGCAGCCATCTCCAACACGATTCCTACCCTCAAAATCAAAAACATCCACAGCCTGGGAGGTTTCCAGACCTTCCATCTGCCTGGAAGACACCGCACAATCTGCCCAGAGATTACCTGTTTCAGGCGTTTCGTGCTCTGAGACTGCGTTTCAGGCTGCGCGTAGCAGCCTCAAAACCAGCTGAGAACAACAAAAAAAACCCATATATTTTTCACAGCTGGGTTTTCAGCAAGGAGCACACTATTTATTCGCCACCGCAGGTGGGTGCAAAGCGATTTACAGCTACGTGTACAGAAGGGGCAGCTATTTTGGAGGAAGGAAAAACAAGATAAAAGCTTTTCGGAGTTTCATATTCCCAACAAAGCGCTTTAGATTTTTTTTCTTAACTCTCAAAATAAGGCTCTTTTCTTCTTCCCGAGCAGAGGAATCATATTGAAAGGATCCTTTAAGTGTTTCGTTTGTGTGAATGGGTCCAGTGGTGAAATGGAAGAGGCAGCATAAAATCCACCATCAGAGGCCACACCATTATACAACAGCAGACAACAAGATGCAGAAATATTGTCTATTCCAAGACAATCTCTTTGATTTTAAAATTAATGAAGGATCCCAAACCCTTTATAAGTGGGACTGGTGATAAGAACCCCACAAAGCACCAGAAGCAGGTCCCCTCCTGCTGAATGAAAGGCCATGGGCCTTGGAAATTGGAAGAGCAAATGGGACAACCTCTCTCTCCCCACAGAGATGAAATTTTAAAAAAAAAACCAAGCATGTTCATTAGAAGTAGTATGATCAAAATGAGGGACTCACACAGGGACAGAGAACTGAGAACTACACACAAGGCTGTCATCCATTAAAACTGGAAGTGTTTTTTCATTTATTTTACCATAAATGAACAGCCCAGAAGAGCTTACCGTGCTCTGAAGAGACGTTCCCCTAAAACACACACTAATTATGCAGTGGGGCAGAGCCGAGACCATCAGTTTTGTTTCAAATGTGCCATGAACACCTTTTTATCCCAATGTTCTCTAGAAGAAGGCTCAGACTCAGCGTCCAACGGCAAAGTCCACCACTGATAATCAGGGAAACCAGGAATTCTAACCCATCTTCCCATGATGCTACCTTACCGGATGGTAAATTCCAGCAGCTCCTGGATGCCCTGTGGGTCAAGGTGCTGAAGGTTGTAAACCCTCTCCAGGCTCTGATGCAAGAACTGTTGGGAAGGATCTTCGTGTGGGGTAACACTGGGAGAGACAGGGGAGGACAGCAGCTTTCTACCTGGCAACTAAGGAAGAAGAAATACACACACACATATAGAAAAGTCCAACACGAGTAACAACATCGCAAAATTTAACAACTACCAGTTGAGAGCTCTGATTTATTTCTCAAAAATCAAAATTTATATCAAGGATTTCAAGTCTACATCTTTTAACTTTGTTAGTTAATAATCTCCATTTCATAATCCACTCGCAGGTAGAGATCTTCAGGTTAAACTTCAACATCCCTCTGAGGGAAACATCTTCCTCATCTCCTAACTACGACTCTGTGAGGTCAAGGGAAGGCCAAAACCACACAAACCACAATTTATTTTATGAGCTAGAATGTGATTTATGATCAACTTCAGTCCCACATGTACTTCCATGCAGGAAAAACATGCTTCAAAGCAGCAGAGAACATCTCAGCCATGAGTGAATTGTTTAGGGTTCCACAAGTCAAATGGTGGAAAGTCTACAAAGCTCCCCTTCCCCACACACTGAGAGATACAGAAAGTTCCCAGGAATCCCACCCTCCCAAAATTCTTTCCCAACCAGCAAACCATGTGCTATTCTCTCACTTGAGAGCTATAAAGTTATTATTCTCCCCAAAATATTACAAAATCCGTATTGTAACAATTTAACGTTTGGCTCTCCTTACTTAACCTACATTTGAATAGTCATTGCCTTGGAGCTTGGGAGAAAAAAATACTTTAAAATCCAACCCACACGAACAGACACGGAGGAGACCAGTGATATTGGGAACAGAGTGATGAAGAGCAAACCAAATCAACTCAACTTACCCTTAAGGGAGGGACCAGATGAGAGAGACTGTCCCGAAGATAAGCGTAATGCCTGAAGGTGTGATCAGAGAAGAGGGCAGGCATCGTCGGGCAACTCTTGGCAGCGTTAAAAATCAGGACCAGAACAGCAATATCTATTGAAAGGGACTGTTAAAGAAAAAAATAAACCAACAGCAAGAAGAGCTCCTTGGGGATGGCAAGTTTAAAACACCACCACCACAACCACCAACACAACCCTTTCTTTGCCGGGGAATGTTTAGGAAGTTCTTTATGGTTGGAGAACGTTGAGCGAAACCCAAAGAGGCAGCTGCACCAACAGATGAGAACAAACCAACAAAGCACAAATATTACAGGATGGGCCATATTGGAGGCAGGATGTTAATGCCAACGTGTTAATGCCAACACAAAGGATGGCAGCCAGGGATTACAAATGCAGAACACTCTGATTACGAGGAGTTTCACTCTTCCTCAAAGCTTACACTGTGCTGACCAGTTTGGTACCCAAACACCACCTAAAATCAAACATTTATCCCCATCTTTGAAAATTGCTGCATTTCCTGTGATGCCCTGAAAAACATCCCTCTTACACAGACTTAAAATAAACCGAAGAATCAAACAGGGAAGATGATTTTGTAACAGAGAGAACATTTTCACAGCCTGAGAGCCCGAGGAATACAGAGGGCAGCCAAAGGCTTCGGGGCACTCACCTACACAGACAGGGCAGCCAAAGGCTTCGGGGCACTCACCTGCACCAGGGCTGACCCTGAGTGTAAGGTCTCCAACAGGAGAGGGTGAAAGGATCCCAATGCAAAGCTTATGCTCATCCAGGCACTTGCCTGCACGGGGAAGAAGCAGGTTCAGCCACAGAAGGGACAGAATCCATGTCCCTCACCTCCTGAAAAAACCTCCTGCACCCACGGGCTGCCAAGCATAAAGGTTTCCACTTGACCAACCAATTTCTCCTCTTTACCCAAAAGCCTTTCCAAATTTTCAGCTGAAGCTATTCAACTAACCCAATTCAAATTTCCTAAGTGCTTGGAATCAAACAAAACCATGCTTTTAACTAACAGTTTACACTGGAAACTAGACTATTCAGGTCTACCTTGTAGCTTCTGGTTCCCAGGCCTGTCTTCCATAGATCTCCATGAAAGTGGGTGGCAAGTTATCTCCAGAACCTTCTCTAAAATAATATTCTTTGGTTCAGGGCAGGAACGTGCATTGAGCTAAATAACAGCTTTCTCCCCACCCCAATGTTCCTTCCATTCTCAACTTGTAGGATAAATTTACTCAAATTATTACTTAACCACCTGATTATGGACTAATCTTTCTCTTCACCCGATTCTAGCCCTTCTTCAGTTCTCACGAGGCATTTATTTTATTTGTATAGAATTTCTAGCTGATGGCCTGGGACTGGTTAGGAGAAATAAAGACAAACTTTACAGAGGAAGAGAGTTATTCCAGTCTAACGTGTCTCAGCATTTATCAGAAATGATATTACGTTCTGTGATCACGCAGAAGGGAAGCAAGGAGAGTGAACAATGGAAAAATGGTATTAGTTTTACTTAAAAAGAAAACAGACAAGGAAAACCACTCTTCTCATTTAAAAGCTAAAGCATCTTCAAAATTAGCACGAACTAGACAAACGTTTTCACATCAAAGGACTCATCTGCAACTCCTAAACCTTGACAAATTGCTTGATAAACAGCTTATTCATCACAGCATTAAAAAAGACTAATCACACCACATTGGGATTTCTGAAGATGGTTCCAGATAACAGTTATTCCATCACTCGCTGAGTAATAAAACTGAGCAGCAAAGGGATTCAGAAATAGCTACAGGATTGTCTGCTACCGTTTGAAATGGTTTCACAAACGTGAGCATCAGGAAAATATCAGTAAAATCTATTATGTTCAAAATGCTCAACTTAAAAAGATACAGGCTGGGTCATCCATGTCTGGTTCCGGAGTGTCAAAGAACGGATGTGTGCTCAGCAGCTCCGGGACTAACGGAAGCACCAAAGTGGGATGCCTGCTTCCCAAGAATTTCAAGCATCTGAAAACACACAGATTGAAATATTCATTAATAAATGTACACTGCAAAACACAACATTTTAAAATATTATTACTTTATGTTGCAGCGGCGCTTTGAGGTGCTGGTCAGCATCAAAATCCTACTGCCCAAGTCTCTTCGTGGCTGAATATTTGCATTAATGTTTGATAAGATCCAAGAAAACCGAGAAGACAGCTTGAAAAAGCAAGCAAGCAGGAATAAAAATCATTTATATAAACTGTCCATGAAATACTTAACACCTGGAGCTATACAACCCAAGAAAAGCTTTCACACTCAACGCTCACAAATGAGTGAAGGTTTTTTCTTCAGAAATAAAGGAGTGAGGAGGTAAAACCCCAACCAAATAACAAAACCCCCAAAACCCAAAACTCCACCAAACTCCCCATACAACCCAAGAAAAGCTTTCACACTCAACGCTCACAAATGAGTGAAGGTTTTTTCTTCAGAAATAAAGGAGTGAGGAGGTAAAACCCCAACCAAATAACAAAACCCCCAAAACCCCAAACTCCCCCAAACAATGTAAGAGTACACTGGAAAATTACTAAAAGTGTTTCCAATAACACCCAAGAACGCCACCTCACACCACGTGTGCAGGAGCATCCCTTCCTTCGTTTTTTCCATTAAACAACCCAAAAAACCCCACACAAATAATCATTATTTCTGCTCAGACGGAAAAAGTCCCTCCACCTGCACGATGCCACACAGCCCATCACTTGTCACCACTGATATAATCAACTGCTGCTAATTATTACTATTTAATGCAGCGTCAAGTAAGCACAAGATATTAGTTGCATAGAACAGATGAGTTTTTAAACTGAAGGTTGAATTTATCTTTTCTAGGAATGCTTTGAGACCTTCTAAGAGGGGTATTTCCAGGTGTGGTCACTGGTTCTGGATTCAATATTTGCCTCAATTACTGAAAAAAAAATAGACAAATAAGTAGACAGCAGATGAGTTTTTAAACTGAAGGTTGAATTTATCTTTTCTAGGAATGCTTTGAGACCTTCTAAGAGGGGTATTTCCAGGCGTGGTCATTGCTTCTGGATTCAATATTTGCCTCAATTACTAAAAAAGAATAGAAAAATAAGTGGACACACCAGGACACTGAACACACTCACTTCCATATGGATTCTCTGTCCGTAGGATACTTGGTTAGGTTTTTCAGCAGCTCCACCAGTGCAAGATGGATGCCTTCTTTAGTTGAGACGTTGGTGCAACACAACAGCTCATGAAGGGCTTCCCGAATGTCCCTCGAAGAATCCTAAAAGAAAAATATAACCCCAATCTTTGAGCACCAAGAGAAGATGTTCCTGCACACATTTACTTTGAAGGCTGTGGTTCCTGTTCCTGGGCTGAACTAATACTAGAGGCACCTGCAAAACAGCGCCCGTTTCTAGTTATCACAGTGAAGCACAGATGAAATGACAGCCCAGGAACTCCTGCAGGGTCTCCTAGTGGTCTCATCCACCCACGTGCTTCATCTACTGGAAGGAATGGGAACCCCCTTCACTGCTGACCTTCTCGTGCAGGGCAAAAAAATCACTGTTTGGTTTGGGTGAGGTTGTACCCTTGACACGTCAACGGTTGGACACAACAGATTATCAGTGACCACCTACAGGATAAAAGAACTTGACCTAACTATGAGTTTATAGATTGACAAGAAAAAAATAAAACACACTTAAAAGTTTCGTCAGGAACTTTGTTATGATCATATGGGATCACAGAATGATAGGAGGTTGGAAGGGACCTCTGGAGATCATCTAGTCCAACCCCCTGCCAGAGCAGGTTGCACAGGAACGTGTCCAGGTGGGTTTTGAATGTCTCCAGAGAAGGAGACTCCACCACCTCCCTGGGCAGCCTCTTCCAGGGCTCAGCCACCCTCAAAGTGAAGAAGTTCCTCCTCACGTTTAGATGGAACTTCTTATGTTCAAGTTGATGGCTGTAACCTCTTGCCCTGTCACTGGACACACTGCATACCCCTCATGTACCAACTCTAAAGTCACATTGCACCCACTTTATTTTCTAGGCTGGGGCGATGCTGTACAGAGGAGCTTATGCAATCCCCAAGCAGTATTTTTAGAAGTGCCGTGGCTGAACTCCAGCTTAATTAATTACATTCCTTCTGCCAAAAACCCACCTTGCTGTTCCATATCAATGTATTGTACTCCCTCGCCATCAGCATTTGTGTGGCATTGCTGGATAGAATGTGAAAATTTGACAGGATACAAGAACTGGCTGCGTTTCAATGGCAGATTTAATTTTTTTTTTTTTAAATTATAATTTGCTAAGTATCAACAGCTCATTCATCACTGTCTTACACAAAAGAAAAAAAAAAGAGCAGTCCTCCTGTAAAGGCTCTTCAGTGACAGCCACCACACACAAATGATCAAAGGAGGAAAGCACAGCAGGGCTGCTCAGCTGTTCCTTATTTCGGTGGTGGAAGGAAGATGATGGCCAAAAAGAAGATTCTCTGAGGACTGGAACGAAATGACTATGGAGGTAACGTACTCTAGGTGAAGGCAAGTTGCATGGACCACTGGAAGGGCAGTACGGAGACACGCGAGGCAGAAGACTATGAAGGGACAGAGAGGGGCACAACTCAATAGAAACCAGGATCAAGGGCAACAGGAGAAGCAGAATACAAAGCCCAGGGAGAAAAGCAAGGAGTAGCTGGTAGAGTTATTCATAGAATGCTTTAGGTTGGAAGGGACCTTAAAGATCATCCAGTTCCAAGCTCCTGCCATGGGCAGGGACACCTCCCACCGGAGCAGGTTGCTCAAAGTCCCATCTCACCACCCTCGGAGTGAAAAATTTCTTCCAAATATCTATCTAAATCTCCCTCTGTCAATTTGAAGCCATTACCCTTCATCCTATCCCTCCACTCCCCGATGAAGAGTCCCTCCCAGCTTTCCACGAGCCCCTTTAGGGACTGGAAGGGGCTCTAAGGTCTCCCCGGAGCCTTCTCTTCTCCAGGCTGAACCCCCCCAACTCTCTCAGCCTGTCCTCACAGCAGAGAGGCTCTGTGAACAGCATTGTGTCAAACTGCTTCCCCTCAAACACTCAGCCTGTCCTCACAGCAGAGGGGCTCTATGAACAGCATTGTGTCAAACTGCTTCCCCCCAAACCCGTTTTATTTGCTGAGCTGTAGCCCTGAAGGTGTGTTTTTTTGACTCAGCTGTATGTGGTAGGTGAGTCTCTGCTGCTTTTGTGCAGTCTCCCAGCCTCAGGCGATGCTTCTGTCTCTTCAGCTGCTGTTTTCTTGACCCAGGGCAACGGTGGCTTCTTTCTGTTGTGCAGGAAGAAGCAAACTACCCAGCTTATTTTATCAGTCCGAAAAACGCTGCGGAATATGATCTTAATTTGCAAACAGAGCAGGGAATTTTATGCCCCTCAAATTTTTATGGGGTTGATTTACCTTTGTTCAAGCTGGGGACTTGTGCATCGAGGTATAAAAACGCCGTCGTTAGACTGGGGTTCTGCCTTCTGCTTCTGTGCTGACTTATCACGTGTGTTAAATCATAGGTGTATTATGGTTTATATTATCATAGTGATTATCAGGTATTAGGATAGAGGAAGTGTGAGAATGATTAACATTTTAATGGGTTTGTCTGATTCTGAAAGGGGCTCGCTTGCTTTCTGTAACATCTATCTTTCAGTAGCAAAATAAAGCATTTGGGAAAATAGCATTACTTTTTGTGCCTAAATTTGTTCTGAGAATGTAAATATGGATCAGTTGCAGGTTGGGTAACTTCTGCTTTCATCAACCGCTTTGACTTTATCTGAGAGAGTTGGGGTTGTTCAGCCTGGAGAAGAGAAGGCTCTGGGGAGACCTTAAAGCCCCCTCCAGTCCCTAAAGGGGCTCCTGGAAAGCTGGGGAGGGACTCTTGATCAGGGATGGAGTGATAAGATGAGGAGCAATGGCTTCAAACTCAAAAAAAGGGAATTTAGGTTAGATATTAGGAAGAAATTTTTCACTCCAAGGGTGGTGAGACCCTGGCCCAGGTTGCCCAGAGAAGCTGTGGATGCCCCATCCCTGGAGGGGTTCAAGGCCAGGTTGGATGGGGCTTTGAGCAACCTGGTCTGGTGGGAGGTGTCCCTCCCCATGGCAGAGGTCTGGAACTAGATGATCTTTAAGGTCCCTTCCAACCCAAACCACTCTATGATAAAACCTCTTCCTCTTCCCCTTCCCAGATCAAACCCATCAACCAGGAAGAGCAGCCGACACGCTGTCCCCTGGGTGCTGGCTGAGCACTGACTGCAAGGATGCTGGTTGGAAAAACCCAAAATTATACCACGGAGCACACTAACAAACTCTCAGAGAAATCTCAGGCCCATGCCCTGTCTCTGCTCGGTGAGCAAAGGTGTAGCCAAAGCAGCTGAACAAAGCAACAGAAAGAAAATGAAGCTGTATTTGACCTGAAGTGGTGCATAGTTTCAAACCACAAAAAACAGACAGAAGGAAACACCCTTGAGGCTACAGCACAGTGCTCAAGGGAAGAGCTTTTATCTGAAATTCATCTGTTTCGCAAGTATTCTATTGGTTGGACTCCATGATCTCAAAGGTCCCTTCCAACCATGAAGATTCGATGATCCTGTGTTGTCCTGGAGATTACAAACGACCAGATCTTAGGAGCCACTGGGGGTTTTCACAGAAGAAGAAAAAAACCACAACAAAAAAGGTGGGCAGTTTCAGCTGAGAGGAAGGGGCTGATGAGCATCATATGATTGTAACACCTCAAAGAAAGCAGGAATTTCTTACCTCCAAGACAGCTAACACAGTATCCAGCTGGTCTTCCCTCAGCGTGATGTTGTTGGAAATTTTTCTCATCGTGTGTATGGACTGCAACCTCACCTCCTCGATTTCATCGTTGAACATGTCAACCAAAAAATCCAGGCATTTCTCCGCAAAAGAAGGCGAGGACTGAGCCAACATGCAGAGGGCTTCAACCGCAGCGATCCGCACCTCTGTTTCAAAACAATGGAGGGAACTTATTGTTAGTGCTGTTTAAACACACAACTGATGTTCCTCAGGGCTCAGTACCAGAGGCCAGTTTTCTTTGATGCCTTTATCAATGATCTGGACAAGGGGATTGAGTGCACCCTCAGCAAATTTGCAGACAACACCAAGTTGGGTGGGAGTGTTGATCTGCTTGAGGGTAGGATGGCTCTACAGAGGGATCTGGACAGGCCAGATCGATGGGTTGAGGCCAACGGGATGAGATTCAACAAGGCCAAGTGCTGGGTCCTGTACTTGGGTCACACCAACCCCATGAATGCTACAGGCTTGGGGAAGAGTGGCTGGAGAGCTGTCCTGGTGGAAATGGACCTGGGGGTGTTGGTTGACACCAGCTGAATGTTCACCAGCAGCATGCCCAGGTGGCCAAGAAGGCCAAGAGCATCTTGGCCTGTATCAGGAGCAGTGTGGCCAGCAGGACTGGGGCAGTGACAGTCCCACTGCACTGGGCACTGGTGAGGCCTCACCTCAAGTGCTGTGTCCAGTTTTGGGTCCCTTTACAAAAAAGACATTGAGGGGCTGGAGCAGGTCCAGAGAAGGGCAATGGAGCTGGTGAGGATCCTGAAGAGTAAGTCTTGTGAGGAACAGCTGAGGGAGCTGGGGGTGTTCAGCCTGGAGGAAAGGAGGTTGAGGGGAAATCTATGCAAGTCCCTGAAAGGAGGGTGTAGAGAGGCAGGGGTCAGTCTCTTCTCCCAAGTCACAGGTGACAGGACAAGAGGAAATGGCCTCAAGTTGTTCTGGGGAGGTTTAGATTGGATATTAGGAAAAAATTCTACACAAAAAGGGTTATCAAGCCTTGGAACAGGCTGCCCAGGGAAGTGGTGGAGTCACCATCCCTGGAGGTATTTAAAAGTCACGCAGAAGTGACGCTGAGGGACATGGGTTAGTGGTGGTTTGGGCAGCATTACAGAATCACAGAATCTTCTAGGTTGGAAGGGACCTTAAAGATCATCTTGTCCAACCATCAACCTAATTTTGACAAAAATAAACACCCACACAACAAACAAGAAGCATCACCATCACTAAACCATACCTTCCAGCACTACATCAACCCGTCTTTTGAACGCCTCCAGGGATGGTGCCTCAACCACCTCCCTGGGCAGCCCATTCCAATGTCTGATAACCTTTTCAGTGAAAAAATTTTTCCTAATATCCAGCCTGAACCTCCCCTGGCGTAACTTGAGGCCATTTCCTCTTGTCCTGTCGCCTGTTCCTTGGGAGAAGAGACTGACCCCCACCTCTCTACAACTCCTTTCAGGTAGTTGTAGAGAGCAATAAGGTTGATGGTTGGACTCAATGACCTTAAAGGTCCCTTCCAACCTCGATGATTCTGTGATTCTAGAAGGACATAGTACCCAACTGCCAGACCTCATATTACTCAAGGACTGGGCCAAGGACAGTAGATGTTACGGAAACCCTGAGGAGGATGGAGACTGAGAAGGCCATTTAGGAACCTTTTTACAGCCAAGTCTTCAGATCAAAAGCTTCCCCTCAAATACAGCGTGTGCTGCTGTCGTAAGCAACTGCAGAAGGACTTACAGGTGAAAAAGAGGTCTCCTACCCAGCAATAAATATCACGTATTTCATAGCGCGTTTTGCAAGTGTAGCTATAACCCCGGTTATCTTAAGCAAACTAATTTAGATAATTAAACTCTGCTTGTTTTATTCTCCCTGACGTTTTAATTGCTCGCAGCACTCACTGCATTTTAAACTTGCCAGGTAGCACTTTATGAATTGCTGAAAAGCCCTGGAGTAGCAGCGTTTTGGCAGTAAATGGAATTAAATTCCTCCGCTTCACGACCTTGGATTCCTCAAAAGAAAGGAAAAAGCTGCCACCTAATTATTAGAATGTCTCAGAATTTAAGCAAAAAAAGCATGAAAAGGTGTCCAGAGTGTATTCATACTGTAAAACATGGTAGGAATTTGAAGAATAGCCAAGTATAACAAGCTTAAGTGGAGATGAGACTAATTTCCCTGCAGCCATCCTCGTTAGCTTCCATAGCATTTATGTGCCAGGGATCACAAAAAATAAGAATTAAGCTGATGTCTTGCAAACATTATTGTTTTAAACATACTTTTATCTTTCATTCAAATTAGCTCATCTTGAAAACATTTACTTAAACTCATTGTCTAGCTTTTTAGGCCCATTGTTCTTAAAGAACATATTCCATTCCTGATGATTGTGATTAAGCAGAAAAAGCAAACACAGCAAGACCCCTCCTTATCCCCCAACGAAGCTTTTGTCACAGCTACGGGTCTCCGCGGTCATTAAGACCAAGGTATTAGAGAAGAAAAACATTTTGCCAATATTGCTTTCCGAAGCTGACATGCTAATTTAGATTTAAATCACACCATGGAATTCAAGAAATGAAGCAGCGCTGCAAGTTAAGGCAGAAGGGAGCTCAGCAGTATTTAAAAAGGCTGCAGTGGAGGGAGAGATCTACATCTGATCAGGACAGGATGGATCGATGGGACGAGGTCAACGGGATGAGGTTCAACAAGACCAAGTCCTGGGTCCTGCACTTGGGTCACACCAACCCCATGCAGCGCTACGGGCTTGGTGTAGAGTGGCTGGAGGTGCCTGGCAGAAAAGGACCTGGGGGTGTTGGTCAACTGAATATGAGCCAGCAGTGTGCCCAGGTGGCCAAGAAGGCCAACAGCATCCTGGCCTGTGTCAGGAACAGCGTGGAGAGTAGGACTCGGGAGGTGATGGTCCCCCTGTACTCAGCACTGGTGAGGCCTCACCTTGAGGGCTGTGTCCAGTTTTGGGCCCCCTACCATCAAAAAGACATTGAGGTGCTGGAGCGGGTCCGGAGAAGGGCAACAAAGATGGTGAGGGGTCTGGAGAACAAGTTTTATGAGGAGAGGCTGAGGGAGCTGGGGGTGTTCAGCCTGGAGAAAAGGAGGCTGAGGGGAGACCTTATTGCTCTCTCCAACTCCCTGAAAGGAGGGTGTAGCCAGGGGGGGTCGGTCTCTTCTCCCAAGTCACAGGTGATGGGACAAGAGGAAATGGCCTCAAGTTGTGCCAGGGGAGGCTCAGATTGGATATTGGGAACAATTTGACACTGCAAGGGTTATTAAGCCTTGGAATGGGCTGCCCAGGGAAGTGGTTGAGGCACCATCCCTGGAGGCATTCAAAAGAGGGGTTGATGTGGTGCTTAGTGACATGGTTTAGTGATGGTTTTTCACGAGAGTTAGGTTGATGGTTGGACTAGATTATCTTAAATGTCCCTTCCAACCTAGAAAATTCTATGATTATTTAAAGATCTGTGGATATTCCACATCTGTCCATTTTATCAACACCCTTTAATAACTCCATCCCACTCCAAGACCTGTGGCAAAAGAAACTGGAGAAGGTGTTTCACAGGTGAATGAAAAAAAATCAATGAAAAATTTTTTTACTGTTAGTCAGAAGAAAAACAAAGCTGCATTTTCAGCTGCAGGGAGAGTTTAGCTACTGGGAAAATGTGCTTTCATTCCAGGAGTCATGGTACAATAAACCAACTTTTACAACACAATCTACAGCGATATTCTTGTTATGGTGGTTTTGTACTTTCTAAATTAGCGTCGTCATTCCAGTAATGTTAAAAGCAAATTGAGGAATAACGTTCAGGTTTTCAGGGTTCTATGCAAACACCAGCCATTCTCAACAGCCTTAAATAATAGAAATCTTCACTTTACTCATGGGAAAGGGCAGCACACAGATTTCCTGAGGCTGTCAATGCTACAGCCAAACCTCGCAGCTCAAGAACGTCTGTGTTCCAGTTTGACACTCATAATTCATCCTCTTTAAAAGAACAGATCAGATGTAATCTGCTGGAAAAGGCTACGGCGTCCAAGTCCACAAGAGACCAATACAATAGCACCACGGAACAGGTAAATGTGACCTCAGAAAACAGGTGTTTTCATTAAAGATTTCTCAATAACATTGCTAAAGACATGAGCAAGACCTCACCTGAAATTTAAAACCTTACCTGAAAACACACAGATCCAGTTACCAATTTTCGAGAATAAAGCATTCTAACTGGCCAAGAGGAAAGCTTTTGTAGCAGCAGAGACCGACAGGAGCCCAGCCTGTTTAGCCCCTTGTGAAATGAAAGCTGTCTCTTAATTCATTAGGCAAGCCAGTCTTCTAATTTAACAACTACTTGATTTGAAACCTCCCACTAAGAACAAATGGGTATGAATTGCCTATGTATAAAACTGGGCTGGAAATTAGAAGAAGAAAACTTCAGTTGGCTGGAGCTGGTGGATTCTGAAATATTTTGAAAAATATGTGGGTTGGTCTCCACTAGTTCTACCCTTTGTTAGGATGGAAGCTGCTCTGTTCATAAAATTAATGATTACTAGACTCCAAGGACACAGGTTCCTTGTAGTGCCGTGGTTTAAACAAGTTGCATAAATTTTGATTTTCCTTCCCGCAGAGAAAACACCAATTTCAAACAGCAGCAACTAATGTTGCCAATTTAGAACCACACACAACTGTTAACTGGTTAAAAAAAAATAACCCCAGTGGCTTTCTGCATAACATAAGCAACCACTTCTTAGCAGATACATTACTAAAACTTCACAGTTTATAGGAATATATTTGAGGTTGGCTACTCAATGGAACATTTCTATCCAAAATTCTGTGCAGCACTGCAGCAGCTTTGAAACAAATGCCACATAAAAATCACAATGTAATAAAACCCACCACCCTAGAGTCCACAATTCCTTAAAAAAAACAAACACGCACAACAGCCAAGTGATCTATCTTCACATTAAACAAACAAAAAACAGACTAAACAACCAAAAAAGCTTATTAACCAGCAGAATAAGTTAACACTTACCATACATCTCATCTTCCAGGCCGTGAACAAAGGCCCCACAAGCTCCCGATTCGATCAAGTTTACGGCACCCGTATCGATTTCTTCTTTGGGAGCATCATCTCCCCATTTTCTGCCACTTGAAAACTCCCCAGAGCTGTAGAGCTCTTTGGCTCTCTCATGCGCCGTGCGCTTCCTCTGCCCAAAAAAATGTTTCAGTTACAACCACGGTACACTTTAAATATGACCAAATTAAATATTAAATGGTTTTCCTGGATTTGAAAATAGATGTAGCCAGAGGCTTAGACACCAACAGAGACAGACAAATGCTAAGAAAAGCAAATACTGCCTTTTCTTCTATGAATATTTCTAATTGCCCGTAACTCTTTGTGCTTTTGATGTTGGGAAAAGATAATAACTAATATATTTTGATTTACATTTTCTTAGACGTCCTTTACAAGAAAAGCCAAATTGGGACAGAAGAAAGGCCCATCTTGTTAAGCATCCAACAACTGATCAGCAAAACCAGATGCTATCCCTTTGCAGTGCAACTTCAAATCACAGAATGGTTTGGGTTGGAAGGGACCTCTAAGACCATCCAGTTCCAACCCCCTGCCCTGGGCAGGGACACCTCCCACCAGACCAGGTTGCTCAAAGCCCCATCCAGCCTGGCCTTGAACCCCTCCAGGGATGGGGCAGCCACAGCTTCTCTGGGCAACCTGGGCCAGGCTCTCACCACCCGCACAGTGAAGAATTTCTTTTTATCTAATCTAATTCTTCCCTCTTTCAAGTTGTTAAACTGAAATTAAATACTTTAATGACTATCAATACTATCCAGAGTTCAGCAATGCGGAAAATGTAATATTCATTCAGCATGTTTGCTCTCCTTTCTCCCCTCACTGTAATAAAAGCTGTGCAGCACTTTCTTTAATAGACTTGCCAAGGCAGCCCAGAAAAACCAGCAGCTCAAGCTTCATTGTTCATTTGCAGACAAAAAAACCAAACTTAATACCCCAAGCGAGTTGTTTAAGGAAGGAATTTTGCTGAGAAGTTTCGCTCTTAGGGCTCAGGATTCCCAGCCTTTGGCTACTTATGTCTCTTGAAATGTCTAGGTCTACTGGTCAAATCTTGCAGGACATTTCCATAATTTTGCTGTAAAACTAGGATGTGATCATTCCATACACAATAAATAAAGCTTTTAGCCAAGAGGCTGCCAGAAGAACCCAAACGTTTACCTCTCATCTGTGAAACCTGAATAGCCTCGAGCTGTTTATTACATGCTCGGCTAATGAAATCTAAAACTAGCAATTGCTTCACTGACTTTAATCTAAAAGAAAACCTGTCATCATCAATTAACTCTCAGCAGCCCCGAGGCAAGGACAGGGTAAACAAACACACGCAAACATTAACATACCTGTTGTGCAGTTTTACCACAATACACACAGAAAAAACCAACGCGAGCATTTACATACCCTCAGATCTGACATCAGCTTCTTGTCAAGGGTCTGCTCTAAGAAATGGGAGCTAACTTGTTGCATAGAACCCTACAGGAAAAAAAATAAAGAAAAAAAAAAGATCAAAAGGAAGAAATAGGATTATTTTATATTACACAATAGAATTACCTGATTTATTCCAGTGTAATTCCAATCTCACCCACTCATTCTAATAGCTAGATACAATACTTGACACTATCGTATGTCAGAGTCTAAAGAATTTTACCTAAATGGTCAGAACAACTTATTTTCCCACTGGGATTAATATGGTCTTTCTTGAGTTCAGCTGGTTTACACATCCCGTGCTGGAGAAGCAGGAAGAGGGAATTACAAGTATTTGTTTTTTTCTGGGATACCCAACCTTCTACTGTTAAAGAAAGGATGGCTCCAGAGTTCAGCTGAGAAACTTCCGAATTTCCTCAACCACTCTCATTTCTTTCTTCTCAGAATTTTGGTAGAAGTTTTGACCTATACGGTTTTTAAACATTCACCCATTTCTTTTCAAATATATGCAAAAAGTAAAGTAAGAGAGATTAGCTATTTTCAGATAGAAAATAAAAGGATGTAACCTACCAATAACTTAGCAGCTTGTACTCTGACAACCCAGGAGCCGTCGCTCACCATGTGGCAGATTTTTCCAAACGCATCGTCAACCAAGCGTATTTCTTCGTTAGAAGAAGGAATCGGGACGATGCTAATATAGAGAAACATTCTTCTTTGGGAGCATCATCTCCCCATTTTCTGCCACTTGAAAACTCCCCAGAGCTGTAGAGCTCTTTGGCTCTCTCATGCGCCGTGCGCTTCCTCTGCCCAAAAAAATGTTTCAGTTACAACCACGGTACACTTTAAATATGACCAAATTAAATATTAAATGGTTTTCCTGGATTTGAAAATAGATGTAGCCAGAGGCTTAGACACCAACAGAGACAATGCTAAGAAAAGCAAATACTGCCTTTTCTTCTATGAATATTTCTAATTGCCCATAACTCTTTGTGCTTTTGATGTTGGGAAAAGATAATAACTAATATATTTTAATTTACATTTTCTTAAACATCCTTTACAAGAAAAGCCAAACTGGGACAGAAGAAAGGCCCATCTTGTTAAGCATCCAACAACTGATCAGCAAAACCAGATGCTATCCCTTTGCAGTGCAACTTCAAATCACAGAATGGTTTGGGTTGGAAGGGACCTCTAAGACCATCCAGTTCCAACCCCCTGCCCTGGGCAGGGACACCTCCCACCAGACCAGGTTGCTCAAAGCCCCATCCAGCCTGGCCTTGAACCCCTCCAGGGATGGGGCAGCCACAGCTTCTTCTCTGGGCAACCTGTTCCAGTGTCTCACCACCCTCACAGCAAAGAATTTCTTTTTATCTAATCTAATTCTTCCCTCTTTCAAGTTGTTAAACTGAAATTAAATACTTTAATGACTATCAATACTATCCAGAGTTCAGCAATGCGGAAAATGTAATATTCATTCAGCATGTTTGCTCTCCTTTCTCCCCTCACTGTAATAAAAGCTGTGCAGCACTTTCTTTAATAGACTTGCCAAAGCAGCCCAGAAAAACCAGCAGCTCAAGCTTCATTGTTCATTTGCAGACAAAAAAACCAAACTTAATACCCCAAGCGAGTTGTTTAAGGAAGGAATTTTGCTGAGAAGTTTCGCTCTTAGGGCTCAGGATTCCCAGCCTTTGGCTACTTATGTCTCTTGAAATGTCTAGGTCTACTGGTCAAATCTTGCAGGACATTTCCATAATTTTGCTGTAAAACTAGGATGTGATCATTCCATACACAATAAATAAAGCTTTTAGCCAAGAGGCTGCCAGAAGAACCCAAACGTTTACCTCTCATCTGTGAAACCTGAATAGCCTCGAGCTGTTTATTACATGCTCGGCTAATGAAATCTAAAACTAGCAATTGCTTCACTGACTTTAATCTAAAAGAAAACCTGTCATCATCAATTAACTCTCAGCAGCCCCGAGGCAAGGACAGGGTAAACAAACACACGCAAACATTAACATACCTGTTGTGCAGTTTTACCACAATACACACAGAAAAAACCAACGCGAGCATTTACATACCCTCAGATCTGACATCAGCTTCTTGTCAAGGGTCTGCTCTAAGAAATGGGAGCTAACTTGTTGCATAGAACCCTACAGGAAAAAAAATAAAGAAAAAAAAAAGATCAAAAGGAAGAAATAGGATTATTTTATATTACACAATAGAATTACCTGATTTATTCCAGTGTAATTCCAATCTCACCCACTCATTCTAATAGCTAGATACAATACTTGACACTATCGTATGTCAGAGTCTAAAGAATTTTACCTAAATGGTCAGAACAACTTATTTTCCCACTGGGATTAATATGGTCTTTCTTGAGTTCAGCTGGTTTACACATCCCGTGCTGGAGAAGCAGGAAGAGGGAATTACAAGTATTTGTTTTTTTCTGGGATACCCAACCTTCTACTGTTAAAGAAAGGATGGCTCCAGAGTTCAGCTGAGAAACTTCTGGATTTCCACAACCTCTCTCATTTCTTTCATCTCAGAATTTTGGTAGAAGTTTTTACCTATACGGTTTTTAAACATCCACCCATTTCTTTTCAAATATATGCAAAAAGTAAAGTAAGATAGATTAACTGTTTTCAGATAGAAAATAAAAGGATGTAACCTACCAATAACTTAGCAGCTTGTACTCTAACAACCCAGGAGCCGTCGCTCACCATGTGACTTCTTTGTGGACTTATCCCACAGGTTTCCTGTCATTAGCCTGTTGTGTGTTGGGAGTACTAGTGGGTTATTATAATTGTGGTAACTGATGCTGAATCAAGAAAAACAGATTTCTCACTGAAAGTAAGAGCCTCCACATGCTTAAAACAAGTCAACAAATTAAAAAGCTTTTCTTCAGCTACGGCTGAAACAGAAAATGTCACGAATCATTAAAATGCCCTTTGACATCTCACGTTACACTCATATTTCAAGACATGGCTTATTTTTCCAGGTAATTTTGATATGCCACACGGATTTTGACTAAATTAATTAAATAATCTCTAATCCAAACCTCTCTGGATTAGTTTGCAGCCCCCTACCAGTTTCCATCTGTGACCTGATCAGTTTGTTCCACCAAACCAGCAACTTACCATGGCTTTTATAGCTGCAGTCCTTACACGAGGGTCCTGGTCATTAAAATGATCTCCTATTATCTTCTGGACATCTTTGGCAGCCTGGCTTTCAGCTTCTTTTGCAACACCTTTTTCCACGGGACCAAGACAACCAATTAATTGAAGACACTTATTTCTTACGCCGTGAGAAGAATCTGTCAGATGCTGTGGAATGGAAGAGAAGAACAGATGTAACTGGATTCTTACTGTTCTTTCACCCCTTCGAAACAACTAATCATATTAAGGTTCCTAGCAGTTAAAAAAAGTTAGTATTGTAGCAGTTTTGAGAGGAAAAATGAAAATAACTTAAAACACTATGTATTTTTTTCCTGTGGCAGGGATAGAAGCTTCCTGCCCCAGAGAGGCCACCTTACCTTGCAGGCTACTTCCACCAGTCTCATCCTGACCGATGGATTCTCTGTGAGTTTTGTGCCAATCACCAAGAGGGTGTCCAGCAGCTGAGCAAGGACTTGGTGAGACTCTGCAAAACACAAGAGTGAAAGGCTGTGGACCTCTACTGAGCTACTCACCACCTACGGAATCACAGATCCATCCAGGTTGGAAGGTCCTCCTGAAACTTTCTCCTTCCAAAGGCCAGAAAAGGGCCTAGTTCTCTCAAGCTTCTCCTTGCACATCACATACTCCAGCCCTTGACCACCTTGGTGGCCCTCTGCTGAACTCACTCAACCTTACCAGTACTTATCTGGCACTGGGGATCGGATCCCAAAACTGGATGCAGGACTCCAGTTGTGGTCTAACCAGTGCTGAGTCAAGGGGAATAATCTCTTCCCTTGACCTGCTGGCTACACTCCTGTTGATACAGCCCAGTATGCAGTGAGCCTTTGCTGTTGACTAATGTTCAGTCTACTCTTCACTGGGACCACCAGAACATTCTTACCTCTAAACTGGACAGACATGGGTTTGATGGATGGACTGTTTGGTGGATAATGAATTGGTTGGATACATGCATTCAAAGAGTTACGGACAATGGCTCAGTGTCCAAGTGGAAACCAGTAAGACTGGGGTCCCTCAAGGGTCCGTACTGGGACCAATACTATTTAATCATAGAATCATAGAATGGTTTGGGTTGGAAGGGACCTTAAAGATCATCTAGTTCGAACCCCCTGCCATGGGCAGGGACACCTCCCACTACAGCAGGTTGCTCAAATAATATCTTCATCAGTGACATAGACTGTGGGATCGAGTGCATCTTCAGCAAGTCTGCAGATGACACCAAGCTGAATGGTGTGGTTGACACACCCAAAGGACAGGATGCCACCCAGAGGGACCTGGACAGGCTCGAGAAGTGCGTCTGTGTGAACCTTATGAGGTCCAACATGGCCAAGAGCAGGGTCCTGTACCTGTGTCAGGACACCCCGAGTATCAATACAGGCTGAGGGATGAAAGGATTGAGAGCAGCCTTGAGGAGAAGGACTTGGGGGTGTTGGTAGATAAGAAACTCAACATGAGCTGCCAAATGTGAGCTGGCAGCCCAGAAATCCAACCACGGATGGCTCCAGAGTTCAGCTGAGAAACTTCTGGATTTCCACAACCTCTCTCATTTCTTTCATCTCAGAATTTTGGTAGAAGTTTTTACCTATACGGTTTTTAAACATCCACCCATTTCTTTTCAAATATATGCAAAAAGTAAAGTAAGATAGATTAACGGCTGAATAACCCCAGTTCCCTCAGCCTCTCCTCGTAAGACTTGTGCTCCAGACCCCTCACCATCTTTGTCGCCCTTCTCTGGACCCGCTCCAGCACCTCAATGTCTTTTTTATGGTAGGGGGCCCAAAACTGGACATAGTACTCAAAACTGGACACAGTACTCAATCTGGCAGATTTTTCCAAACGCATCGTCAACCAGGCGTATTTCTTCATTAGAAGAAGGAATTGGGACGATGCTAACAGAGAGAAACATCAATTAGTACTGATTTACATCCTGCTGGATGGCATCAGGCAAGAAACAACTCTGCTGAATTCCTAGGGATGTGCAACAAGTATCAGAGGGGGTGTTGGACACAGGGAGTGGAGCCATAGGAGGAGGGGGAATAACTTTAAAATTATAGAGCAGATTTAGATTAGATATTAGGAAGAAATTCTTTGCTGTGAGGGTGGAGAGCCACTGGCCCAGGTTGCCCAGAGAAGCTGTGGCTGCCCCATCCCTGGAGGGGTTCAAGGCCAGGCTGGACGGGGCTTTGAGCAACCTGGTCTGGTGGAAGATGTCCCTTCTCACAGTAAAGGGGTTGGACTAGATGACCTTTAGAGGTCACTTCCAACCCAACCCATTCTATGACTCTATAAATGACCTTAAAATAAAATTAAACTGCATCAAATAAAGCATATACAAACTGTGAATATAACACAGAACTAAAAATGGACTTCAATAAAGCCACAAACAGGACAACCCGTATTTTACTGTCTATTACAAATCCAATGCTAATAAACTAATGCCTTCTTTCATTAGCACTGGTGAGCAAACCTGCAGCATGGTAGGAAAAAAAATAGATCTCCTCTTCACATCAGATTCCACTTTAAGCAAGATTGTCCTGTAGAACAGAGCTCTCCAGAAACAACAGCTCACACATGGAGATGCAAAAGCCAACTTTGCACTCCCTTAAAACAAAGGCAGACAGCAGGCAGGTCTGAGGAACGCTTTTCTCCCCCTCAGAACATGATACTGTCTTTCATCATCTACAGAAGTAGAAAATAAGTACACTGAGCAAGAACTCCCAATTATACAGATAGAAATTATCAGATATAAGGGCCTTGCCGCTGCCCTAAATGCTTAAAAGATGGTGTGATTCTGCCTTGACCTCAAGCACCACCTGAAAAGCCAGACTTACTCTCATTTTGAAGCGTGTTAATGGCATCATCCATAATGCAGTCTGGGGAAAACCCCGCAGTCTTCGACAGCAAGCCCAGCAAGGAAGCAATCTTCAGCCTTACAGAGGCATCGTTCTCCTGGAAGGAAACACCAGACACCCTCGGTCATTTTCCAGTTTGAAGAGCAAAAAACACTTCACACAGGCAGGACCCACATATAATTTAGCACAAGGGTCTGAATTTTACTGTTGGGCTGCTTCCCCCTCCATAGGTCCGCAGCACACCCCAAATTAACCACACCAGAACGTTTATGTGGCAGCTTCCAGTACGTTTCAAAACGAAGATGATCTTCAAAGGTCCCTTCCAATCCCCACCATTTTGTGATGAAGAACCAAAAACCTCACCCAGATCTGTGCATTCTTACCAGATAGCAGCAATTTGTAAACATCATTTTTTTTTTAAACAGCTACTCCTGAGACTTTCTAGCACAAAACTCTCAAGATGAGGATAATTTTTATGCTGGTATTTGGAGTCGCTGTGCAGGCAGTACATACCTTTCAGGGTAAAGTTGACTGAGGACCCAAATCAGCTGGACTGCAGCGCTGCGCACTTGCTCGTAATCGTCTGCCAAGAGCTTGCAGGCCTGAAAAATAGATTCACAGAATCTTCCAGAACACCTGGAGCATCTCCCCTGGAGCTGCCACTCACTTCCCACAGTGCAATGAGGATCCTTACCGCCAGTTGGTTAGGAGAGATTAGAAAATTCAGTGTTCCCTTCTACCCCCTAGTACTTCCAAATATAATTAGGTAGATTAGTCCGAACCAAATCAATTGGGCACATGCTGTAAAATTCCACAATTATCTGTACTTTGCAAGAAGAACAAGATGTGAATCTGGAGCAGAACTGATTTGATACCCAAACCTCACTGACACAACAAACATTGGCTTCAGGTGGACTCTCCAACAAACAAGACTTCAAGATTGCCAAATGACAGTAATAATTGCATATTCCCTTTATCATCTCCCCCAATAAACAATATATTCCAATCAAAGCACATGCTTTAGTGCATTAAGCACAACAAGAAGCAAACTAGACTTTTATTTCCACTGCCATAAGGTAATAAGGACTATAGGTGACCTAAGTGCCAAGGACTCCACCTCTGTTCAGTGCCCTCCTCCTCCCAGACCATGATGGCACAGAATCTAAAAAGCAAGATGTGCAAACAAGTACAAAATAAATACAAATTAATACAAGGTTTTACCTGACTGTAAATTGCCTGATGTAATTTTAATCCTCTTTCGTGAAGCTGCAACTATAGAAAAAAAAACCAACAAAACACAAGAAAACATCACTATATGTTTAAGTGACAAAGTTTTCACCACTCTTTTTTCTGCTTTGAGTAAACTTAGTTGCTTGCATTTCTTGATTGCTGCTATCATGAAAATATTTCATTATCCTGGGCATAAATATTTTAAATAGCAATCTTGATTGCAGTATAGTTTTTTTAAACTTCACAGCCATTCATACTTTGATTGATTAGAAAAATACAGTTTATATAAATACACATTCTCCCAGAATGTCCATTCTCCCAGCCATCAAATAATAATAATAATTTAGTGTTAGCCATATTAATTACACAATTAAAACAGACATAGGTATCTTCAAAATAGTTTGCTACCCCTACTGAAACATGGAGCCTGAAGTAGCATTGCCAATGAATTTTCACACTCTGTAAACCTTTTTAAATTACCAAAACAGAGGAATAGCTAAAACTGTCCAACTAAATATTGTTTCTATCTGGAATAAAGAAGTACATGAATCTGATTTATAAACAAAGGGATAATGTTTGCTTCAATGCGGTCAACAAGAAACAGCTGCATTTCTATATCCCCTTCTTTAAAGTACAACAAGCCAGTGACAAAATTAAAGAAAAAAAACACAGAGTAGCAAGGAAAATCATGATCAAGAACCCAGAAGTGGTTACTGACCCTGAATTCATTCAGGATGCTTCTGTGCAAAGACAGTTGTCCTTGAGCTGTAATTATAAATTCAAGGTCATAAATCTGGCTATGGATTGGGTTGAATGCCATTGTAAAAGTCACTCAAAAGGTTTAAAAAAAATAATAATATTGTATCAGCAAAGATCAAAACGGAATGAAAATGAAGGATGAGTGCAACCTCCAGCAGAGGGAGATCCCAGACAGATTCAAGTGCCATCTCATCTCCTCAAATGCATCCTGCTTCTTTCTTTGGAGTTTAGTGTCCTTAATTCAAATACTCTTGTTGACCATCGTATTAACCGAAACGCTGTTATAAAGTTTAAGGGTAACAGAGAAACTTCTATAAACCCACATACTCAGAGGCAACTCACATTTAGCAACATTCTCAAGCGCGTGGTCTTTGCTGAGGTTTCTGCAAAGCTAAAAGCTGCTGAAAGGTCCCCACACTCCAGCCCACATGAAAACCAGTAGATCTCATAAAGAGAAAAGGGCTGACAAACACCACCATAGGGCAAAACATAAATTTTCTTTAAAAACAAACCAACAAACTTCTTTGTGGACTTATCCCACAGGTTTCCTGTCATTAGCCTGTTGTGTGTTGGGAGTACTAGTGGGTTATTATAATTGTGGTAACTGATGCTGAATCAAGAAAAACAGATTTCTCACTGAAAGTAAGAGCCTCCACATGCTTAAAACAAGTCAACAAATTAAAAAGCTTTTCTTCAGCTACGGCTGAAACAGAAAATGTCACGAATCATTAAAATGCCCTTTGACATCTCACGTTACACTCATATTTCAAGACATGGCTTATTTTTCCAGGTAATTTTGATATGCCACACGGATTTTGACTAAATTAATTAAATAATCTCTAATCCAAACCTCTCTGGATTAGTTTGCAGCCCCCTACCAGTTTCCATCTGTGACCTGATCAGTTTGTTCCACCAAACCAGCAACTTACCATGGCTTTTATAGCTGCAGTCCTTACACGAGGGTCCTGGTCATTAAAATGATCTCCTATTATCTTCTGGACATCTTTGGCAGCCTGGCTTTCAGCTTCTTTTGCAACACCTTTTTCCACGGGACCAAGACAACCAATTAATTGAAGACACTTATTTCTTACGCCGTGAGAAGAATCTGTCAGATGCTGTGGAATGGAAGAGAAGAACAGATGTAACTGGATTCTTACTGTTCTTTCACCCCTTCGAAACAACTAATCATATTAAGGTTCCTAGCAGTTAAAAAAAGTTAGTATTGTAGCAGTTTTGAGAGGAAAAATGAAAATAACTTAAAACACTATGTATTTTTTTCCTGTGGCAGGGATAGAAGCTTCCTGCCCCAGAGAGGCCACCTTACCTTGCAGGCTACTTCCACCAGTCTCATCCTGACCGATGGATTCTCTGTGAGTTTTGTGCCAATCACCAAGAGGGTGTCCAGCAGCTGAGCAAGGACTTGGTGAGACTCTGCAAAACACAAGAGTGAAAGGCTGTGGACCTCTACTGAGCTCCTCACCACCTACGGAATCACAGATCCATCCAGGTTGGAAGGTCCTCCTGAAACTTTCTCCTTCCAAAGGCCAGAAAAGGGCCTAGTTCTCTCAAGCTTCTCCTTGCACATCACATACTCCAGCCCTTGACCACCTTGGTGGCCCTCTGCTGAACTCACTCAACCTTACCAGCACTTATCTGGCACTGGGGATCGGATCCCAAAACTGGATGCAGGACTCCAGTTGTGGTCTAACCAGTGCTGAGTCAAGGGGAATAATCTCTTCCCTTGACCTGCTGGCTACACTCCTGTTGATACAGCCCAGTATGCAGTGAGCCTTTGCTGTTGACTAATGTTCAGTCTACTCTTCACTGGGACCACCAGAACATTCTTACCTCTAAACTGGATAGACATGGGTTTGATGGATGGACTGTTTGGTGGATAATGAATTGGTTGGATACGTGCATTCAAAGAATTACAGACAATGGCTCAGTGTCCAAGTAGAAACCACTAAGACTGGTGTCCCTCAAGGGTTTGTATTGGGACCAATGCTATTTAATCACAGAATCATAGAATGGTTTGGGTTGGAAGGGACCTTAAAGATCATCTAGTTCCAACCCCCTGCCATGGGCAGGGACACCTCCCACTAGAGCAGGTTGCTCAAATAATATCTTCCTCAGTAACACAGACAGTGGGATCAAGTGCATCTTCAGCAAGTCTGCAGATGACACCAAGCTGAGTGGTGTGGTTGGCACACCTGAGGGACAGGATGCCACCCAGAGGGACCTGGACAGGCTTGAGAAGTGGGGCCAGGTGAACCTTATGAGGTTCAACATGGCCAAGAGCAGGGTCCTCCACTGGGGTCAGGACAACCCCCAGTATCAATACAGGCTGGGGGATGAAAGGATTGAGAGCAGCCCCGAGGAGAAGGGCTTGGGGGTGTTGGTAGATGAGAAACTCAACACGAGCTGCCAAATGTGCGCTGGCAGCCCAGAAATCCAACCACCCCCTGGGCTGCATCCCCAGCACCGTGGCCAGCAGGATGAGGGGGGGGATTCTGCCCCTCTGCTCCGCTCTGGGGAGACCCCCCCCCAACCTAGTGCTGCCTCCAGCTCTGGGGCCTCAGCACAGGAAAGACATGGACCTGTTGGAGCGGGGACCCGGCCCCAAGGCAGCGCTCCCAGGCTAGGCCCCGAGCTAGGCCGGCAGCTTCTCCCTCAGCTCCGCCTCACCCGCCGGAGCCACCCGCCGCACGACGGAGCTCGGGACTGTCCCCCCCTCCGCCCCGCTCGGCCCGACCGGACCAGATGGCGGTGCGTTACCTGGACCACCTTGGTGAACTCCTCGTACACCCGCTTCTTCAGGTGCGCCGCCATGACGCCACCTGGCCCTCCGCGGCCGCCGTAGGCGCAACCCGGAAGAGAAACCATAGAGTCGGCCGCAGGGAGGTGTCAGAAGGAGCGTCCTCTCTTGCCGCCTGGAGGTCGCGCTCTATGGTCAGGCGGCCGAGCCCACGGGGGGGGGGAGTGGCTTCCCGTTGCCATGGGAACGCGGGGTTGACATGGCGGCTGCGGCCTGGTCCGGCCCCGCAGCCAAACCCCGCCAAGGGGGGCGGCCCTGTCAGCCCACGCAGTTTTCCCCCCAAAACACCCACCGGTTTCGTTATTGTTTGATAACGACCAAAACAGAATCATAGATTCACAGAACGGTTTGGGTTAGAAGGGATCTTTAAAGGCCATCTAGGCCAACCCGCCTGCAATGACAGGGGCATCTTCAACCTGGGCCAGTGTTTCACCACCCTCCATGTAAAAAACCTATTCTATCTAGTCGAAGTCTTCTCTATTTTAGTTTAAAGCCATTACCCCTTGTTCTACCACTACAGGCCCTGCTAAAATGTTTGTTCCCAGCTTTCCTGGAGCCCCTTTAGGGACTGGAAGGGGCTCTGAGGTCTCCCTGGAGCCTTCTCTTCTCCAGGCTGAACCCCCCCAACTCTCTCAGCCTGTCCTCACAGCAGAGGGGCTCCGTGGCCTCCTCTGACCTCGCTCCAACAGGTCCATGTCTCTCCTGTGCTGAGGCCCCAGAGCTGGAGGCAGCACTGGAGGGGTGTCCCCGGACCTGCTGGCCATGCTCCTGGGGCTGCAACCCAGGATGTGGTTGGGTTTTTGGGCTGCCAACACATATTGATGGCTCATGTTGAGCTTCTCATTCACCAACACCCCCAAGTCCTTCTTCTCAGGGCTGCTCTCCATTCATTCTCCATCCAGCCTGGATTTGTGCTTGGGATTGCCCCGACCCAGGTGCAGGACCCTGCTCTTGGCCATGTTGGACGCCCTTCTCTTCTCCAGGCTGAACCCCCCCAACTCTCTCAGCCTGTCCTCCCAGCAGAGGGGCTCCAGCCCTCCCAGCATCTCTGTGGCCTCTTCTGGCCTCGCTCCAACAGGTCCATGTCTCTCCTGTGCTGAGGTCCCAGAGCTGGAGGCAATACTGGAGGGATGTCCCCGGACCTGCTGGCCACGCTCCTGGGGCTGCAGCCCAGGATGCCGTTGGGTTTTTGGGCTGCCAACACATGTTGATGGCTCATGTTGAGCTTCTCATCCACCAACACCCCCAAGTCCTTCTTCTCAGGGTTTTTCTCCACCCATTCTCCATCCAGCCTGGATTTGTGCCTGGGATTGCCCCGACCCAGGTGCAGGACGCTGCTCTTGGCCATATCGAACCTCATGAGGTTCACACAGGCCCACTTCTCAAGCCTGTCCAGGTCCCTCTGGGTGGCATCCTGTCCCTCAGGTGTGCCAACCACACCACTCAGCTTGGTGTCATCTGCAGACTTGCTGAGGGTGCTTGATCCCACCATCCAGCTTAATTAGGGATTATTCAAATCCTTTCGCATAAAGATAAACCTTCAGAATTAGAGGGTTTGGGTGGGAAGATGTCAGAAAATAAAGCACTTCTGTATCATTCAAAGAGCTTTTAAAAGTTATTTATTTAACATCCCAGAGATTATTGTCCTTAACTGGAAGAAATCCATCTTCTTAGAAGTATATGATCATAATCAAATTAGCCATTATGATTAATTGTGATTAAAAACAAGCTATTGGCCATCTCCAGTATAAAAATAAACTTTCCAATACTAAGATTTTTAAAACACAATGTAGGACCCAACTTGTGTTCTGTGAAGGAGAATTTGCACTGAAGTCCCAGGCTTTCTCTGCAGTAGTGCTTCCTTCCCATCAAATCATGGTGGGTTTTCCATGTTCTGTTGATCCCACCATCCAGCTTAATTAGGGATTATTCAAATCCTTTCGCATAAAGATAAACCTTCAGAATTAGAGGGTTTGGGTGGGAAGATGTCAGAAAATAAAGCACTTCTGTATCATTCAAAGAGCTTTTAAAAGTTATTTATTTAACATCCCAGAGATTATTGTCCTTAACTAGAAGAAATCCATCTTCTTAGAAGTATACGATCATAATCAAATTAGACATTATGATTAATTGTGATTAAAAACAAACTATCGGCCATCTCCAGTATAAAAATAAACTTTCCAATACTAAGATTTTTAAAACACAATGTAGGACCCAACTCGTGTTCTGTGAAGGAGAGTTTGCACTGAAGTCCCAGGCTTTCTCTGCAGTCATGCTTCCTTCCTGTCAAATCATGGTGGGTTTTCCCTGTTCTAGAAGCTTATACAGTTAGAAATAGTATCATAATAATGAATGTCATAAAGATCATGGAATCACAGAATTGTCAGAGTTGGAAGGGACCTCTAGAGATCATCAGTCCAACTCCCCTGCCAAAGCAGGGTTGCCCAGAGCACATCACTCAGGACTGCATCCAGGCGGGGCTTGAAGATCTCCAGAGAAGGGGACTCCACACCCTTCCTGGGCAGCCTGTTCCAGGGCTCTGACACCCTCGCCGCAAAGAAGTTCTTCCTCATATTTGAGTGGAATTTCCCATGTTCCAGCTTTCATCTTTGTTGCCCTATGCTGGACTCTCTCCAGTAGTTCCCTGTCTCTCTTGAACTGGGGAGCCCAGAACTGGATGCAGTATTCCAGTTGTGGCCTCACCAGAGGGGGAGAATGACCTCCCTCGACCTACTGGCCACACTCTTCCCTGTGCAGCCCAGGATCCCACTGGCCTCTTGGCCACCAGGGCACATTGCTGGCTCACGGATAGTTTACTATCCCCCAGGATCCTTCTCCTCAGCAGTGCATTCCAGCAGGTCTACCCCTAACCTATATTGGTGCCTGGGGTTCTTCCTCTCCAGATGCAGGACCCTACACTTGCCCTTGCTGAACCTCATTAAGTACCTCTCTGCCCAGTTCTCCAGCCTGTCCAGGTCACACTGGATGGCAGCACAGCCCTCTGGAGTGAAAATAGTGCCACCTGAGAGAGGAGCATGTGTCCTTTATAAACTCCTCACATCAGCGATGGTATTTTTGCCCCTTGTTGATTCTGGACCAGAGCTGAGGTTCTCTGTCTTTCCTTCAGAATAAATAATAAATAACAGTAATAAATACATTGACTGGAGAGCAGGCTGTCTTCTGGAGGAACAAGATGAGAGCATGGGACACTGAATCCTTCTTTTTCACCTACGTTCTAGTGTGGAAAGCAGTGAGAAGAAGAAGGAGGATCCAAATTTAAGTTGAGCATGCGTTAATGCAGCCATTAGTGGTTCCATCAGGAGTTGCGTGTATGTGGCCTCTTCCCGTTTGCTCTGCGAGACCAACTCCACATGTCCATGAGAAGCATTTGGGATTATTCTTTTCTGTTAGGTTGAGGGAGGTTGGCTCAACCCTCGGATCTGGCTCTCTGACCTTACTGAATAGTCAGCGATGCTGAAAGATTAAAATTCCTCTTTTTCCTGATGCCTTTTAAATCGTACCGTTATCCCCTAAAGCCCAAGAAAGCAGAGGCGCTCAAGTGCTCTTTAATTTGGCAAACAACAAAAGGAGATCCTTTCGTTAGGCCATGCAGTTTTTTTTCCCTG